ATTAAAACTTAAGGATTGAACCCAGGCCCTCAGGCATACCAGGTAAATGCCCTACCACTGAGTTATACCTTTAGCCCTAAAAAGAAAGCTTATGAGAAATTAAACTGTGTGCTTATAAACTGCCATAATATGCAAAATGTTGCTTTCAAGGCAACTTTAACCAAAATTACGATAGTGAAAGAGACAGAAAGAATAAAAGGGAGAAGGAGACAGACTTCCCAAATAAGCTGACATAGGCATGTCTAAACATTGTCCCATGTTAACAATGACTCCTGGCTTTGCAGAGGGGCCTGGGTGGGGGTGATTCTCCAGGCAGTTCTGGTCAAATGAGGGAGGCTGCTTCCAACAAAAGCTTTCCGAAGGGACAGCATGACCTTAGGTAATTCTTTTCAAACAATGTATTTCCACTCTGTAGTCTTCAGTGTTCCCATCCCAGAATACCACAGGCCTCAGCAAAGCAAAACAGCCCACACTTGAGCTGAGCAACAGAACAATGCTCTGACGTGCACTCCAGGAGGGACAGGGCTTCTGTGTTTTCAGCCAGCCTTGAGTCACGTTTTGTGAGTTGTGGGAGCTGACTGGGAAGGAAAGGAGGGGGTTTCTTCCACAGCCTCAGATTCTAGAGCATCCCCGGTGAGAGGAAAAAACCACATTCAAGGCCTTCCCTGCCCCCAGCCTCAGCTGTGAAAGCAGAGCTAATGGGGGGGGGGGAGGTATCAGAGTCTGGGACATGACTACATCGCCATCAGCCATCAGCCCACTCTTGGGCTTCTCTGTGGAGTCACAGTCACAACTGGGACTTTGATGATGAACTGTTTTTTCTTTATTCTAACCACCAACTGCTTTCAAACTTTAAAAAAAAAAGAAGAGAGAGAGAGAGAGAGAGAGAGAGAGAGAGAGAGAGAGAGAGAGAGAGAGCAAAGAAAGGGGTCTGGGAAGACAGCTTAGTAGTTAAGAACACTGGCTGCAGCTCCTCCAGAGGGGCCCAGATTTGAGTCCTAGCAGTGACACAGTGGATCACAGGGGATTCCCTATGTTCTTCTGACCTTCATGTACATAAAATAAAATAAATTAAAGAAAGAAAGTAATTTTTAAAACTTGTTTCAACTGGATGTAGTTGCATACTCCTGCAATCCCAGCACTGGGAAGGCTGTGTCAGAAGGATCAAGGCTAGCCTGGGCTACCTAGTGAGACTCTGTCTCAGAAACAGATCATCTAAGTATAGTGGCCCATGCCTATAACCTCAGGTTTGGGAGATGGAGGCAAGAGGATCAGGTCAGTGTAAACTACATAAAAAGGAAAAAAGAAGGGCTGGGGATATTACTTAGGTACAGGCTGCCTGCATGAAACCCCAGCTCAAAATTAAAACACAAACAAAACAAAAAACACTTTTGTTATGGTGCAAGTTCTACCCAAGCCCTCCTCCCCTATCTCCCTCCAAACCCTGCTGCATCTCAGAAAGCCAGCCAAACAATGATCCCTCTCCCAGAGATGCTCAAGACCACTCCCACGGGGTTTTTAAACTGTCCCCCAGAAAACAGATGTGTGGTTTTCCTGTCTCTCTTTCCCCTCTCCTCTCTGGAGGTCTGGAAAGCCATCGGGAGCATTGTATCCATTAAACATGAGCTATTTCTAATTTGGTTTGATTTGGATTGCTGAATTGGCAAAAAAGGCTTATGGGGGTGCAGAAACTTTTCAACTTTGGAGACAGGGGCAGGAAAGTCTCTCTGAGTTTGAAGCCAGCTTGGTCTACACAAGTTCCAGGACGGCCAGAACTACACAGAAAAAATCCTGCCTCAAAAAATCAAAAACAAAGCAAAACAACAAAAACAGCCATGACAAAGAACAGTACATAAAGGCAAACTAAATAGCCAGAAGTTTTGGAGCAATGACCAGCTTCAGGATGTCTGATATCAAAGAGAACTCTGTCCTTCTGGGACTTTCTTTGCTTAAGAAAGGTAATAGAGAGCTGGGGAAACTGCTCTGTTGCTAAAGAGCTTGCCTGATAGACATAAGGACAACTAGTGGGAGTCTATTCTGGCCCTCCACCTGCTGAGACCAGGGACTGAACTCAGGTTGTCAGGCTTAGCTGCAGGCACCCTTATCCACTGAGCCGTTTTGTTATCCCTACATATTGCTTAAAGTGGCTTTTCTGGGGCTAGTTGAGATGGCTCAGTGGTAAAAGCACTTGCCATGAAAGCCTTGTGATTAAGTCAGACCTCTAGAACCCATGTAAAAAAACAACTCCATGGGCCAGGCAGTGGTGGTGCGGGCCCTTTGTCTTTGTTTTGCTTTTCCAGACAGGATTCCTCTGTATAACAGCCCAGTCTATCCTAGAACTTGATTTGTAGACCAGGCTGGCCTGCAACTTGGAGATGTAAGTTTTTTTGTTTTTAAATATATCTTTATTTATTTATTATGTATACAGTGTTCTACCTGCACACATGCTTGGACACCAGAAGAGCCACCAGATCTCATTATAGATGGCTGTGAGCCACCATGTGGTTGCTGGGAATTGAACTCAGGACATCTGGAAAAGCAGCCAGTTCTCTTAACCATTGAGCCATGTCTCCAGCCCCGAGATGCAAGCCTTTAATCCCAGCACTTGGGAGACAAGAGGCAGGTGTATCTCTGAGTTAGAGATCAGCCTGATCTACTACACATCAAGTTAGGACTACACAGAGAAACCCTGTCTCGAAAACAAAATGAACCAAAACAAAACAAAAAGAACCAACTCCACAGAATTATCCTCTCACTTCCAGGTGTATGCTATGACACATGTGTGGCCATGAGCAAATTATGCACACACGCATCCATACACAATAGTAATACATTAAAAAAAAAGCAATACATAAAAGGGGGCTGGTGATATGGCTCAGCAGGCACAGGCATCCATGCCTTGGGCTGGCAACCTGAATTCAATCCCTAGGACGCACATGGTAGAAAGAAAATCAACCTCAGTGAGTTGTCGTCTCCCACCCAAACGATTGCTGTGGCATGTGCACCTACCCCCAACATACAAATAAATGTAACAGAAAATTTTAATGAAATCTTAAAAAGAAGGGACTAGCTGGGATTTTAAAAAATAAAATAAAGTATGTTTTTAAAGAAAATTAAGTTAGAACACAAAGGAATGGATTTTGTTGGCACTGACATACATATGTGTCATATCTGTTCTCATGTGTTTCCCTCCTTCAATTAAACAGGGCATAGTGTCACACATATGAGTAATCCCAACACTTAGGAGGTAGGAGGATTAAACTCCTGAGCTACACAGTGAGTTTCAGGTCAGTCTTGGGTACATTCCATGACTCTTGTTACAAAAGAAAGAGAGAGAAAGAATGAGTATTCCTTCTCAGTTCCAGACTGAAGAACACTAAACAGGTAATTAAATGTAATAATGATCTCAGGGAGCAAAGGAGAGAACATCCATAAATTACATAATTGGGATCTGGGTGTTGGTGGCACACACACACCTTTGATCCCAGCACTAGGAAGGCAGAGGCAGGCAAATCTCTGTGAGTTCGAGGTCTACAGAGCTAGTTCCAGGACAGGCTCCAAAACAATACAGAGAAACCCTGTCTTGAAAAAACAAAAAGCAAACAAACAAAAATTTACATAATTGAGAAACTGGAGGAAAAAAATTAAATATAACCTATAATAGAATTCTCTCAGTATGAAACCTCCTAAAAGTGACCATTGTAGGGCTGGAGAGATGGTTCAGAGGTTAAGAGCACTGGCTTCTTTTCCAGAGGTCCTGAGTTCAGTTCCCAACAACCACATCATAGCTCACAACATTCTGTAATGAGGTCTGTACCCTTTTCTGATGTGCAGACAGAACACTGTATACATAATAAATAAATCTTTTTTTAAAAAGTGACCATTGTACTGTGGAGATGGAAGACAATGTTTTGTTTTGTTCTTCCTTTTGAGGTAGGACCTTTCTGTATAGCCCTGAACTAGCCTGGAACGTGCTAGGCAGACCAGGCTGGACTCAAACTCACAAACTCAGAGATTTTGCTTCTGCTTCCCCAGTGCTGGGATTAAAGGTGTGCATTATCACATCTTGTCCAAAAGGTGCATTACAAGTGCAAAATGCCACCACTGGAAAGCCATTACTAGTAAATTTGCTATTTCTAATTGGTATCACATCCGGGTTGGTAGGGTCACACTTTCATCCGGGTTGGTAGGGTCACACTTTCAGAAATCAGATAGATTAAACAGGCATGTAATGCAATGAGGCACTACAGATCTCGTATTAGCTTAGCTTCCACCACAGCCTTGGGGAGGCTCCTGCCCTGCGTGGCAGTAGCATCCTTAGGATACAGAGAGTAAAGAACCTCTGGATAAGTACTATCTCTCCATAGAGGTATACAGATTTGGTCCAGCTGGGTGAAGCACTGTTGGGTTTGAATAGTCAACTTCGTTCTATGTGGTTACCAGTAGAGGGCACTGCAACTCAGCTAACTGACACAGCTGCACCCAAGGGCTCCACTCCGGTAGAAACAGGTGGAATTGCTGAATCACCCAGCTGAGAAGCTAGAAAGAGTGGATCAGGCCTCTTTGGTGCCTGGGTCTGGTACTTCCAGTCTTTTCCTCTAGACCATAAACTCAGACCAATGCCTGACATACCTTCTGTCTGTATTCTTACACAGACTGGCTGCACAGCAGAGCTGGGCAAACATTCACAATTGTTGCTATTTCTGCAAATGTTTATCTACCAAAAGTAGCCAGCTGGAGCTATTACATTGGAAAGCGATCTAATTCTCTCCACTCACCCCCTCCTCTTACAGACTCCTTTCCCATCCCAGACCAGTGAAACACTACCTTCACGGAGACCCGGTACAGGAAATCCATCCTCCGTGTGCACCCCGTTATCCACTCTCCAAAGTCCCAAACATCTGTCTTTCTGCAAACAAGGTCTCAAGATCCTCACCACCCACAACCCCAGGAGAGGCACGTCAATTCCTAGGTCCAGACAAATGGCAGGAGGGACTCACACTCCAGCTGGCACCAGAGGCTGGAACTTCCACTGCTCCTCCTCACAGTCCAGGAAGAGCCTGTTCATGATCTTGTTCTTCTCCTCAGGGGGGATAAAGTTCTCAATGATGAGGTACCTGGTGGGCGGGGCGGGAACAAGACAGAAATGGGAAGGGAGGGGAGACCCGTCACAAAGGCAACAGAGGCAGTGGAGGAAAGGGTGGAAGGGACACCATCACTGCAGAAATAATGTAACTCAAAGACCATTGTTTCTAATGCAAAGATTGAGCCTTTAGGGTGGTTTTGACCAGTGCTCAGCCTGCAATTTGGCAGAAGGAGGCGGAGCCACCCAAAGAGGCTAAGGAAGTGGAACAACCATAAGGTCTGGTCCACCTTGTGAGCTCCAGGTTCAGTGAGAAACCCAATCTTAAGAAAGAAAGAAAGAAAGAAAGAAAGAAAGAAAGAAAGAAAGAAAGAAAGAAAGGAAGGAAGGAAGGAAGGAAGGAAGGAAGGAAGGAAGGAAGAAAGAAAGGTGACAGGTGATACAGAAAAACTCCTGGCCACCACAAGCTAATCATAGGTGTACACACATATACTTATATACACCCTCCCTCAGACCCAAAACGCCCAAGACATACAAGCTGGGAAAAAGTGGCCTATACCTAGAAATCCAGCAACTGAGAAGCTGAGGCAGGAGGATAGCTGAAAGTTACAGGACAGCTTGAGCTACAGAGTAGGACTGTCTTTAAAAAACCACGGAAACGCAAAGAAAAAAAAAATCAGTGGACACTTAGGTGAGTAGATAGTCAAGATATGGCTTTCAGAAAAACCTCTCAGAGAGGCCCTGAGGAATTTGGGGCAACATGGGGACCCAGAACCAGAAGAGGAGCCAGCCCTACTTGAGCTTGAGTTCCCGGGTCTGTTCGTTCTGTGCCTCCTCCAGGTCCTGCCGCACGCGGATGTACTCCTCATGCTGGTCCTGGATCTCAGCCTTTACTGCCTGGAGCTTGGCATAGAGCTGGACATGCACAGATGTGTCTCAGAGGCTGCTCAATCAGGCCCCAACCACCCAGCCTGGGCTTCACCTGCTACAGCCCAGGAAGAGGCTGGGGATGATGGTATAAACTCAGAATCAGGATGGGCTATCTCAAGGGCTGCCTCCCTGTAGTTTGGTCACTCCCACCCCCTGAAGCCTCCTCCCTCCCTCTCTCTCTCTCTCTCTCTCTCTCTCTCTCTCTCTCTCTCTCTCTCTCTCTCTCTCACCCCCTCTCTCGGTATCAGAATATTCAAACTGAAAGAGAACTGAGGGAAATTTTAGCCTTGCATTCTCTTTTTACAAGTGAGGAAAATGAGACGTAGACTGAATGAAAGGTCATAACTGATCAACAGAAGAATGGAGACTGGCCTGGCAGTGGTGGCGCTCGCCTTTAATCCCAGCACCCGGGAGGCAGAGGCAGGCGAATCTGTGAGTTTGAGGCCAGCCTGGTCTAGAGTGAGTGCCAGGACAGGCTCCAAAGTTACAGAGAAACCTGTCTCAGAAAAATAAACAACAACAAAGGTGGGGGCATGAGCACTGCACTGGTTTCCTCCCCCTCCTAACCACTGAGTGATGTCCCTGGAACTGCTAGAGTGGCCGGGCCGGGCCGGGCCGGGCCAGCTCTGAGGTGGTCCCAGTCATCTTGGGGCACCTCTGGCCCTTCCCTGAGTTCACACTGGAATTTCCCATGCTAAACCCCCATCTCAAGTCACATCTTTACATGAATTTTGCAGGATCCTGGTGACCAGGTCCTTGCCCCTTAGTGTGGTGTCGAGAACCTCATTTTCCTCCCTGGGCATGAGTCTCCATAGCCTTGTCACATTCCCTGACCCAAAGCTATGATTCGTTGGTGACATCCAAAGTAGAGATGTTACCCAGGAACATGAGGATGACCACCCTGTAGAGTGGAAGTGACCCCCTGATGCCCTGGCTGTCCCTCACCCCATCAGCCCAGGCAGTATATATAGCTCAGGGGTTGGGCAGTGGGGAGGGGCCCTTGGAGGTGATGCTGAAGCAGCAACTTGTTTACCCTGCTGCTTGTCTCACCTTCTTGAGTTTCTTGGTTTTGACCTCCACTTCCTGCTGCAGGGATGAGTAGGTACCACGCAGCTCCATGGTCTCCTCATCTCGGAGCAGCATCTCCTGCTGCATTTCCCGCTCACGGCGTTTCTAGGGCAAGGCACCGTGAGTGGTCACAACAGAAAAACAAGGCACACTGGGGTTGGGCTAAAGAGCACAGGGGCTGGCTCTCTTTGCCTGTCATGAAAGCTGGCTTTACCATGGTCCTGGGTGTGAGGGGCACCCATGGCTCACGTTCACTGTTCCTCACAATTCTAAGTGGAGCACTGGACATGGACCCCTCTTCTCAGCTCCTGCCAACATACTATGTCAGGTGTGACTATGTGCATGGAAACCCCAGCCCTAAGAACTGGCAGTCTCTGGGGACATCACCTATAACATCACAGCTGACTGGTAACTAACTGGATGACTTAGGAAATAGCCATAAATTGGCAATGGAAGGTCTGGGAGTTAACACCAGAGGACTCGTGGAGGCTAAGAGCATGGAAAGCCACCTCTTCCTCTCATCCAAAGAGAAGACACTGAGCTGGGAGACCCATGGAATCCAAGTGATTTAGCTTGGGTTCTCAGCATTCTAATTTCAGGATTCCCAGCCCAGCAGACCCCACACATAACCTCAAGGCCACCTCAGGGAACCTGAAGCCTAGCATCCTTACCTGTTCAGCAATCTCCTGCCGCTTCAGCTCTAGCATCTTCTGTTGCTCGTTGGTGTGATCCATGATGTTCCTCCCCCCAATGAGCAGCTTGCTTTCCATGGCCTAAGGACACAATGGGGTTCAGAGATGGGACTGGCAAAGGCTCATAGCATCCCAATTTGGGATTTGTTGTTGTTGTTGTTTTTTGAGACAGGGTTTTTCTGTAGCTTTGGAGCCTGTCCTGGATCTCACTCTGTAGACCAAGCTGGTCTGCCAATCTCTGCCTCCCGAGTACTGGGATTAAAGGTGTGAGCCACCATCGCCCAGCCCAATTTGGGATTTTTTGTTTGTTTGTTGGTTGGTTGGTCACAGTGTCACATGTAGTTCAGACTAACCTCAAACCTTCTATGCAATAGACCAGTGCTGGATTGTAAATGTGTACCACTACACAGAGCTTTATTGGTTTGATTGTTTTTTGAGAAAGGATCTCACTGTGTAGTGTTGGCTAGTCAGAATTATTATGTAGATCAGGTTAGCCTGAATGTAGATCAGGCTAGGTTAGAATTTGTGGCAATCCTGTTTCTGCCACCTGAGTTTTGGGATTGCAGATATGTGCCATCATTTCTGTTGACAACTTAAGAGATCTCTCTCCCTCTCCTCCCTTCCTTCCTTTCTCCCTTCCTTCTAGTAATATAGCCAAGGATAACCTTGAACTCCTGATCCTCCTGCTTCCGTTCCACAAGTCCACTCCAATGACCACAGAGCAGACATGCTGCTCCTCTTCCCTTCGATCCTTCTAAGAGTGGACATAAGGCCTGCCTAGACAGAACCTTGTCAGTGGGAATTGAGTTTCCTCCTCCAGCCTCTAGAGTGGTAGCACAAAGCTACTATTGTGGACAGGATTGCTTAAGGGTGAAAAGGAGGGAACCCCTTCAGGAATATAAGCCACCTGATCTCTTTGCTATGAAAACAAAGGGACTGCTGGGTCACCATGCCTGTGAGGAAGGTGGATGGCAATTTATTCCTGGCAACCAAGCCCTAGATGGCATGCAGCAGGAGGAGAAAAGGCAGTCACTGGGCAGCCCAGCCCTTGCACTGTGTGCTTTCTTGCTCAGGAAGACAGCTCATCACTGGGGCAGCAGGAAATCTAGGTCTAATCTTGGGCTGCTGAGGAAATCAGAACAACCCAAGGGAGAGATTCCCTGGCAACAGGGGACAAAATGAGGCCCCAGAGGCTACATGAGCTTTAGACACAACCTAAAAGACTCCTAATCGGCTCAGTAAGCTGAAGGCCCCCAAGCCACGCCCCTCCCTGTCCACATCTGCAGTATCAGAACATAACTTTATTTCTGGGCTGCTCACAAACACAAGCAGCACAGTATATGGGGCTGACTAACCCTCCCTTAAGAGGGCTCATCTCTCCATGTAACAAATGAAGAGACAGAGTGACTAGTCTTGGACTAGTCAGTTAGAAAATAACAGAGAGGAGAGATCTGCATACCACATCTCCAGCCTCACTGAGCGCTCCATGATGTGTGAAGCCCCCTGCCCCCATCAATGCCGTCAGTAGGACCCCTGGGACATGATAATGGAGTTGTACAAAGTCTGATTTCATAAAATGCATTGTCATTATTGCCAATAAGAGGGCACTCTCCCAGGGCAGACAACTGCCCTCTGATTTCACCGCTGGCCTCCTGGAAAGCTGACATCACCTTGAGCCACTGGAAAAAATTGGCTGTCTCCCCACTGGAATTTTTCCCGGTGTAACCAGCTGACATGTCTGAGGGTTCTCAGGGCTGGAGGTGCTGCCAGGCTGGGGAGTGGGCAGCTGCCTGTGAGCATCACATTGTTGGGATCAGAGCAGGACAAGGGTTAAAGGATGCTATGGGGGGGTCAGAGGTTGGTTTGTGCAATATGGCAGTAGACATTGAGGAAAGCCAGGTCAGTTGGAGGGGCAGGAACCTCACAGAAGCCCTGTGCAATCACAAAAACAAAGGAGAGAGCAAGAGGCAATGGAGGGGCTGGCTATCCTGGATGCCACACCATAGCCTTCTGCATCCCTGGGTAATTCTCTTACCATCTAGCCCATCACTATATCATGGACTTAACTCATCTTGACTCCTCTCAGTTCAAGGCTATAACTAATATAACTCTGAGATCTAGTGCCCTTGGTAGCATAGTCTCACACCTTACTCACCCCTATAAATGGCCAGTCATTGTATGTCATCTTTAAATGCTTCTTCCCACAATTTACATTACTGTGCCCTTTTTGTCCTTACTGATGCCTACTGACCTCACTGGAATCCTTAAGACTTGCCTGGACCACCCATAGGCTCCTACAGCCTCAGTTTCCTCTTCTGTCATCCATCCTCCAAAACCACAAGTCTAAACAACTTCTCTCCTCTGCTCAGTTATCCAATGGGCCTCTACTCCCCATAGGAGGAAATACCACTTTCCCTTCTCCACTCTCTACAGATACCTGGAAAACTGCTACTCATCTAGCAAGACCCAACAGGAACAGCTTAGGAAATTGTCATTGATCTCTCTCTGAAGCTGCTTGTTCAGACCGCTGCCATAACCAGGATGTATTCCTATAGTTCCCCCATGTGGGATTGGAAAGATGGCTCAGTGGTCAAGAGCACTGGTTGCTCTTCCAGAGGACCCAGGTTCGATTCCTAGCATCCACATGGCAGCTCACACCTGTCTGTAAGTCCCTGTCCAGGGTAACTGACACCCTTACATAGACATACACGTAGGCAAATACCAATTCACATAAAATAAAATAAAAAAAAAAAACAAACATTCCATCTCATCCCATTAGCTCCATCAAGGCAGGAACCATGCCTCACTCTTACGCTACGGTCCCTGGGACTCAGCACAGTATTTGACATAAAACAGTGCCCATTAACTGAGGAATGGAACAGAACAGAATCCTTGGTCTCATCCCAAGGAAGGCCCTGAACCCTTTTTTTTGGGGGGGTACTCTATCCCAACTTCTTCTTCCATCCATCAGCTCATGTTCCCTGTCATGGTCACAGCATCTGGGAAACCCAGCAAAGTGTGGTGGGATAGGTGTGACATAAAGCCCCTACTATTGAGGTTCACAGGTATCTAAGCACTCTGGCACCTGGAAGAAACACCCTCAAAGGCATTTGGTCCAGTCTCCACACCTGTCACATTGTCCATTCCAGCCCAGAGTCTTTAGATTTCCCTCAGCAGTTTATGTAATTCTAGCATCCTTTACTCTATGCCATTTAACAAAAAGGCAATACTTCTCAACCTCTGCTGCCCACTGGAATCACCAGGGCACCTAACAAACCACTTAAACACCGTGAATCAGAATCTGCATTTTCTGGGTCTGGGGTGTGTGGCTTGGTGGGTAAGGGGCTTGCTGTGTAAGCGTAAGTAATCTGAGTTTAGATTAACAGTGCTAGGAGGGGTGGTGGAGACAGGAAGGTCCCTGGCACTTGCTGGCCAGCCAATCTAGGTTCACTAAGCTCCAGGCTTACTAAGAGGGCTTGTCTGAAAAAATAAAATTAATAATTTGGTAGAGGAAGTCACCAATGTCAACCTCTGGCTTCCATAGGCTCACACAAGCTTGCACATCTTCATCTTATGTGAGCACATGTGTGCACAATCTCTCTCTCTCTGTCTCTCTCTCTCTCTCTCTCAGACACACACACACACACACACACACACACACACACGCACACGAATCTACATTTTCCTAGGTCCCCATGTGACTTACGTGTCCCTGTGTTGAAGACTAGGAAATAGGACCAGCTACAGGAAAAGCAACATGTTTTCAGCAGCAGAAGACTGACTAGCCCTCTCAGAGTTCTTCCAAACTGGGACAAAATTACTACAGCATTAGGGAAGCCCACTGTGGCCAGGACTTAAGATGCCTCCCTCCCCGCCCCAAGGCTGCATTTCAGAAGTTATTCAACATTGCATGGGGTGTGGGGATGAAGAAAGGTGAAGTGCTTACTCACTGGGAAGGAAGTGGGTTAGAGTAAGGAAACACAGGCCTAAGTGTGGGATGGCAGGACTGCTCTCTCTTAAAAATCGTACAAGGAAGCCAGGCAGTGGTGGCAAATGCCTTTGATCCTAGCACTCAGGAGGCAGAGACAGGCAGACCTGTAAGTTTGTGGTCAGCCTGGTCTACAGAGCAAGTTCCAGAATAGCCAGGGTTGTTACACAGAGAAACCATGTCTCAAGAAAACAAAACAGAAATAAACAACAATGACAACAAAAATTGTATGAGGAAGCATGTACTGACTAAATGTTCAATTCCATAGACACCCCGAATCATTCTAGGTCATAAGGAACAATGTGAGCTGACTGAAAAAAATAAATTAATAAAAGGTGGGTAGATGAGCTTTTCTATTACAGCTTTCCATTTGAGTGGAAAGTGATCTTCACTCTGCTCATGAAATGATAGCTGTGGGCAAGGCATTATGAACCAGAATAAGACAGGACAGCGAAAGAAGAAATTCTCTACTGCTCCCAAAAGACTGGCTTAATATGCTGCCACAGCTAAAAAGTACAATATCAGTAGCCAAGGACCTTCAGGAAGGCCTTTTGGAAACAAAACAAAAGGAATTGTCCCCTAGCAGAGAACCACAACATAGCCAAATCTGGATCTCCAGAGCCTCAAAGGAGACAGGCAAGCCAGAGAAGGGCAGCAAAGGCCGTTTCAGAGCTACTGTAAGAGATGGAAAAATAGGCGCCATCCTTCAGGCTGGGAGGGCAAAGGAAGATCAAGAGGACAGACCCGGACACGATGTGATCAAAAACAGCTGTGAGAAGGGAGAGTCTGACTTTCCCATTCAACCCTGGTACAAATGTGGAATTTCCAAGGCGGCAGCTTTAAGGTCACCCGAAGGGAGGAGCACCTGGGTAGTGTGGCATACCTATCAACCCCAGCACTTGGGAGGGGGAGAGGGAGGTTGGGGAGTTCAAGGCCAGCTTTGGGCACAGCTTAGGCTACAGGAGACCCAGCAGCAAAAACAAACAAACGAAGCTGGGCAGTGGTGGCGCCCACCTTTAATTCCAGTACTGGGGAAGCAGAGGCAGGCAGATCTCTGTGAGTTCGAGGTCAGCTAGGGCCACACAGAGAAACC